CAACATTGCTGTCTTGGTGGGTGATGGAATGCCCCACCCCACAAAGCAGACCTAAGCTTTGTGCATGTATCAAATATGCATGAAAGATCAAAGACTTCACAGTAAAATGGTGGAATTTTAAGTGTCATGGACTATAACTCATTTATAATTATATAGCAGAGGACTGTGTAGCAGTGACTCAAAATCCTGAAATTATAGTAGAAAAGATAAGCTTAAATATCATGAAGTATTGCTTGGGTTCTGAATTTTTCTATTCTTTTTGTCTTTATAACTTTACAGCACTCTGAAATGAACTCAAGGTCCTGCACATCCTAGACAAGTCCTTAGCCCTTTAAGTGATATTAATTAAGACATCTTCTGTAAAGTAAAGACGAATGAACAAGTAAACAAATTAATAGAAACCTTCCACACATTATAAGCAAATGCAGAAAAGAGAGGGAGCACTATTAGCAGCTTGCATCAAGAACCTGTGACAGCTCTAACGAGCTTGTGTAACGAACAACCTGCTATTCAAAGTCAACTTTGCTACAGTGCTCTTCATTGGCTGTTTCCTTACTTGATGCTCTAAAATTTGACCTTATTTCAATCAACCTGAAAAATAACTTAGCTCCTACTTTTAAAACACTGGGCAAAGAAAATGAAAACAGATAGTTCTCATTTAAAAAAATATAATTGTTCCTTAAATATAACAAAAGCTGTCAATGTCACTTATAAGAAAAGAGCCTCAATTAAGATACTATACTTGCCCTTTTAGCCTGTTGACTCTAAAGAACATTCAAAATACACCGCAGAAGTTATGTGTGGGTGTGTGTGGTGGGGAGTCATCTGTTTCTGGTGATTTGTAAAATTATATAATACTTATAGAAGGCAATTTAGCAATATCATGTAAAATTACAGTGTTTATACTTAGGACTCAGCAATTCCCCTCCTGGAAAGTTATCTTACTGATAGATTTTTCAAATGCAGAAAATGTCCAAAGTACAGGAGTGTTCAATGTGATACCACTTGTAAAAGTAGAATATTGGAGTCACCTTTACTGATATATAATATTTAATATTGAATATAGTAATACCTAAAAAATCATGAAGCAACTTTGAAATACATTTCCCCCATTAAAAACTAAGAGCATTCCCTAATTAAACGAGAAGAAATATAGACTGACTAGTTAGGCAAGGGAACAAGTTTGAGGAGTAAGAATACAGTGCTGGGGGATGGAGAGATGGCTCAGCAGTTAAGAGCACTGACTGTTCTTCCAGAGGTCCTGAGTTCAATTCCCAGCAACCACATGGTGGCTCACAACCATCCATAATGAGATCTGGTGCTCGCTGCTGGCCTGCAGGCAGAAGATTGTATACATAATAAATAAATAAAATATTTAAAAAAAGAATACAGTGCTTAGAATTAGGGTTTGGTGATATAGAGCTGCAATCCCAACCACTCAGAAAGGATTGGTCAAAGGATACCAAGTCCAAAACACCCCAAGTTTACAAAGTGAGTTCCAGGTCAGCCTAGGCAGCTCAGTGAGACCTCACTTTAAGATAAAATGAAAGGCCAGGCTTTGGTGATGCACGCCTTTAATCCCAGCACTCGGGAGGTAGAGGCAGGTGGATCTCTGTGAGTTCGAGGCCAGCCTGGTCTACAGAGCGAGGTCCAGGACAGCCTCCAAAACAATACAGAGAAACCCTGTCTCAAAAAACAAAAACAAAACAAAACGATAAAATGAAAAAGAAAGGAAAGACTGCAGAAAGGACTGGGAAGCAGACTATTTGTCTAGACCATTTGATAGGCCTTGTCTCTAGTACTGACCATACACACACACACACACACACACACACACACACACACACACACTCACTCATTCACATGAGTGAGTCAATTGCAATAAAAAAGAATTCTTTGCATGCACTAGTTTTAACATGCTTAAATTACACAAAATTGCTAAAGTTGTCACCTGACTGGAGACCTAAGTAGGTGGAAGATTGATGTAAGAAGCAGATTTTTCAGTGAAAAATTAATTTCTAATTTCTAATTCCCTTTTTTTCAGTACTAGTGGCTGATGCCTGAAACCATTCTTAAACTCTACCACTGAGTTACTCCTCCAAGCCCTTACGTTGTTTAAAATGTCATGCAAATGTATCACTACTGAAAAACTTAAAATCAATTTATTTTTATGTTTCCAGGGATTACAGCACACTGAATATAATGTTCAATGTTTAGGGTCATTCATATTTTTTGAATTGTAATGAGACAGCTAGTTCTATTGAGAATTCCAAATGCCAAGATCATATATACAGAGTCTGTAGCCTCCTAGAGTTTGAAGCTTCTTGTTTCAATCATTATATAAGGAAATAACATAATTTACCGTATGTTGATTAGCTTGGGGACATGCCATTTTTTCTGTCATTAATGTTGGTTAAGTTTCTTCTCTTTTCCTAGACACTCTGAAACATCTTTCATGCTGAATTCTCTTGAATAAAATCTTGGTCACAAAGAAAACCAAGTGGCTTCCTAACAAGGGGGTTTGCATAGATCTTCATTCTGCTTCCCCAGCTCCTCTGTAGCCTCCACTGTTCCCTTGAAAATACTCTTCTGGTCCAGAAAGTTCAAATCCCTCCCTGTCTCAGTGAAAGATTAGATAGAGCCTCTTGCATGGCTGCTCTCCTTAGATGATGAAGCTGCTAAAAGCTGGCAGGGAAGGTGACTGGTTTTCCCAATCTCCGACCTGTTTGGTCCAGGGAACCTATGTGCATGTTTTCATGGAATCTCTGTTGAATAAACAAATGCCTACTCTGGGCATGGTGGGGGGCAAGAAGTTGAAGCCACAGGAGAAGATAAAAGAGGTGAGACAACCTCCTCCTCAACCAGGGAGGGTGAGATAAACACGCATAATTACAATGTGGCCATTGCCTAAGGGATTGTAAATTGATCTGTGTGGGAGTCACCGCAAGATGGTTGCTAGAAGGATTTTTTTCCCTTTGAGATAAGATCTCAGGTAGGAGGCTGGTCTCCACTTGCCTGGGGATGACCTTATACTTCTGAGGCTCCCACCTTCAGAGACCTGCTTAACTTCAGTGCCGGGTGGGGTGTTGAACCCAGGACTTTTACCTATTAGGAAAGCCCTCTACCAACTGAGCTACAACTCAGCCCCATGAGAGTTTTAAAAATCTGTTATCTATCTGAAAAAAATATGCAAGCATATTTCAAAATTGGTCTTGAAATACTATTGTGGTTCTCTCAAGGAGTCTGAAGGTAATTAATTCAGAATATCACAAGTTTATAGAGGCCAGACAAGGGATATGTGGAAATGAATGGACTGGGGGGGGCGGGGCGGGGGTGATAAAAGAGGTCCAGAGATTTTTTAATCAGGCTGTGTCTGATCTGGGAGGCTTTATCCTCCCCAGGACAGAACATTCATTGCCCAGTACATCTGTCCAGTGTTTCCACAGAGAACACAACCCTGTGACTGTAAATGTTCTAATTGTTCCCATAATCGTACAGAGCTGAAAGCGGCTGCAGCCCTCACAAAAACGTGACCGTGGCTTCCTACTCTGCTGGAGAGAAAATGATGGATGAGTGGAGTGTGTTAAGCTTAGATTGTCTTCAGGCAGGAGGCAATGTGGATTTTTCTCTTATCTACTTAAGAGTTTCTTGGAGCACCTAAAGCAGCCTTAGTAACAAATGCTCCATGGCAGAGCTCAGCAAGTGGCACTTCTCTCGTTTCCATGGGGAGGGGTGGGTATGGCAACTCAACTCCACCGTTTCCTTAAAGCAAAATTCAAAGGGAATGTTGGAAATAAAGCCGAAAGTCAGAATGCTAGAGAAAATCTCATCTGCCTACATTTGTCAATATAAAGTCACTGCAACACAAACAAAAAAGGAAAGTCTCCCTCTTCTCTGCCCCCCCCCCCGTTATGTACTTGGGGACATATTTGCTGTCCACAACTAGAGGGACTGTCATGCACAAAATACTAATCAAGCCCCTCCTATTAATCAGATGCTATCCCCAGTTCTTTTTCTCTGGTCAAGGCCTTTATCTGTACCCCCAGTCAGCCAACCTCCATGCCATTACTCATAGAATGCATGAGCTTAGGAGATAAAAATGTGGGTGACTCAATGCAGTCCCTTCCAGTGCCTGTGAGAGAGACTGGGCAGACAAGGAACTTTGCCTGGGACTATTACCAACCGCTGAGATTCAGCACACCATGAAGAGAGAGACAGAACTCACGGCATACACCATTGCTCTCCCTCTGCATTGTTAAGAGTTTAGCAACAGCCACAAAATTTAAACAACTCTAGGATTGAGCTTTCAAGGAATAACAAACACCAGCAAGTACTTTTACTTCAACCTAGAACCCTTTAAAGATATGTGTGTGTCTGTGTGTGTGCATGTGTGTGTATGTGTGTGCTCCCAAGCACCTGTGTACTCGTGCACATGCGCGTGTGTATGTGTGTGTGTCTGCGCATGTGTGCATGTGTGTGCACATGCGTGTGTGCGTGCGTGCGTGCATGCGTGTGTGTGTGTGTGTGTGTGTGGTGCTAGGGAACTATTCAGGAAATGCTATATATATACCAGTTCTGTTAGTCTTTATTAAGTTCAATTCTTATACTAGATGTTTATACACATCTCTGCTGAAATATATTCAATCAGTACTGCAGATAAACATAAGTGACGAATTAGAAAACAACATTCAAAAGCTTTAAGCTGCTCCATTTCCTTTTCACTAAAATGCACATACCTACTTCTGAAGCATAGTGAGTATTTTTGTACATAATCTGGAAGAGCACAAATAAAATAACCTCAGAAAGTGGGTTTCTGCACAAAGCTGGTTGGGAGCTTTTAAAAAGAAATTTGTTAAGTACTGCCAGAATTTTAAACACTAAGAATATAACCATGCCTTATTTGTCCTTCATGGTTTTATAAAGTATGCATTTACTTTGTTTTGATACAAAGCTTACATTTGTTTTTCAGATGTGCTCAAGCATAAGGAACAAGAGAAAAGAGAAACAATGAATACATTAGATAGGCAAGGCACCCAGACACTGGCAAATAAAGAAAGCGACAATCTTCTTGGAGCTAAAAAGAAAAGGGGGTTTACTTTGAGAAGAAAGAAAGGCATCCCTGAACGAGAAACATTTTCCCAGCTGTGATCTCAGAAGGCGTGGGGTTGGGGAGGAGGAACAGAGGGGTCCCGGGGAGAGAACATCGTTTACGGACCTTACCATCGGAACCTCGATTCATAAAACAAAGCAATCCATGTAGGGGACCTGCATAACTTCACCTGTTGGCAGGTAAGTTCAGTCTCTTTCCCCTTCTTGGAATGAATGGGAAGGCTGGCCCCAGAGCTCGGCCTCCCACCAAAGGAATGTGTGCTATCTGGGGTTGTTTGGAAACCCACAGTCTTTAAAGGAACTGTATCAACAGGTTTTTCCTTCGGCAGAACACTGAGCCAATTGTAAATGTTGAATGAAAATCTTGAGCAAGTTAAATACTACCTTAGGAATTCAAAAGCTGCTCCAGGTAGGGGTTTTCTGTTCTTTGTTTTTAAATAGAATCTCAGCTTACATCTTTATCACTTCTGTCTATTTGAATTGCATGAGTCTCAAACAGACAAGGGCTCTTTCCTGGCAACATGAGGAGAGCACATTTTGAGGAAAGCAGAGCGCTAGCTTGGGAGTTTGGTTTGGACAAAACTGAGATTTGTCCCACATGGAGCTGTTCACGTGTCAAGAAAATGAAGCAGAGTAAAGCCTGTCCCTCAGAGGGGCAGGACCAACCTCCTGCCTATTATGTCTATGTGGTGTATTTGCAGTTCGATGGCCACCTCCCTTCAACACAAATATTGATCTTTTTCTCTCAACTTTTACCTGTATAGTTTCCATTCTGCTCTAAAATAGGTTGTTTCTAGAACATAAGTGATGAGGTAAGTAGCTCTACCCATCGGCCCTTAATGTTTAGGAGAAATCATCACTGCCTATGAGCTGGGGGTGGTGAATCACAGGCAAATCTCTACCTATGACTGTTAAAACCTGGAGACCAAGAAGCATTGTGTCTAGATGTGCGTGCGTGCGTGCATGCGTGTGCGTGTGTGTGTGTGTGTGTGTGTGTGTGTGTGTGTGTGGTGTTGTTTCTGACGCCAGTGCCTGCACTTACAGAGATCAGAGGTCACCATCTTGTGTTCCCCTCCCTCTCTGCACCTTACTATTTGGAATAGGGTCTCCCACTGGAACTGAAACTCACCATTTCAGCTAGACAGGCTGAGCAGCTAGCCCCAGGGATCCTTACAGGAGCTGATTTTCTCTTCCTCCCAGCACTAGGGTTGCAGGCGTGTTATATCATGCTGCCTTTTTTATGGATGTGGGGGATTTGAACTCATGTCCTCACAGGAAGCATTTTACCCCCTGAGCCTCCTTCCCAATCTATCTTCCCCTTTTAAAAAATATTAGCCATTATTGGTTTAAAAATAAAAAGCAAGCAAACAAAACCTGATGTTCAGATTCAGCTTACAGCATTTGTGAAGCCATGTTTTCCCAACTGTTTCCATAGGATTTGTACTTTATTCTGCTAAACCAAAAGACTTTCATTGGTTTTGAAAGCTTCTTTCTGCTCAGCAAACAGGAAACAATCAGCATAGCGAAGACAGCCTATAGGATGGAGAAAAGTGTTTCCAACTTCTGTTTATTTGCTTGCTGAGATAGAATTTCAGTAACTAACACAGGGTAGCCTCCAATTTACAATCCTCCTGCCTCGTCTGCCAGAGTTGTGAATTACCACATCTGGCTTAGATGGCTGATTTCTGGGCTTCTGTGACTTCATGTAATTGATTATGAAGCCTCTCATACTTCACACACCAGAAACGTAATTGAAAAGAATTGTATTCTGATTCCAACACCTAGCACTGAATGGTGTTACAAGGAACATGTATGTCCCCCACAACTAAGCAAGTAAGAATACAGTGAAGAATGGACCAACATTCTCCACATACAATAAAAAGGACCATCCTTAATTTTGGTGATAGAAGACATATAAAAATTAACTGCTGAGCAAATAATTTGGTAATTATCAGTCCTGATTGTTTTAGTTACTCTGTTTTCCAGATGATCGACATTTTAAAATTGAGGAAGGATAATCAATGTCTAGATTTATTAATGTGGCAGATTCTGGAGCTCAAAGAAGCAGATTTCCATGTCTAGGGACTTTATGGAAGAAAAACAAATTCACAAAAGAATGTCAACGACTTTTAGAGGAAGCAGAAGAATGAATCAAAACCTAAGCATCAGAAAGATGGCGCTCAGCCACGGGGAACGTGTTAGGATGTGTTCTGCTGCCTCCCTGGACTCTGAGTCTTAGCCTCCTCATAATGGTTTTTAAAAATCAACAACCCAATCAAACAAGCAAACAAATTCCAAACAAGACAAAAGTCTTTTTAGGCAAAGTCCCCAAAGTCAGCTAGCTGCCTGCCACTGGAGCCTGGACCTTACACTTGGCCCTGTGGTTTGCCCTCTTCTGAGAAAGACAGACTGTAACTCTCCAGATTGTATTGGAAACTCACAGAGGATTTCCACAGTGGGGCATAATCTGTAATTGTGTCAGTACTTCCTATTTAGCCACTAAACCTTAAGATGGTGTCTTTATAAAATGGGAACTACGAGTTTTAAGATTTTATACTTCATGACTATGTACTTTATCCCCCCAGCCCCTTTTCGTTTTATCTTTACAATTTGGGGCAACAATAAATTTTTAACTTCATTTGAATTCTGATACCAACATAATATAACTAACTAATGTAGAGTCAGATGAAATGATTGCTTATAAATCCTTCCATCCATGACTACAGTTTCTAGGAAAAAGTAAAGATTCTGCAAGGGAGATCTTCCTGCTTCAGCCTCTGATGCTGGGATCCTGAGCCTGTACCACCACGCCCAGAGAATGCCTGTCTTAGCTACTTTTGCTTTCCCTCCCTCATTCTTTCCAGAATGTCTTTCCTTCTAGGGTTTTGGGGTATACTATTCTGGAATTCATTTCAAACAGTAGATGCTGGCATTGGTATGAAGCATGTAGAAAGACTTTCTAAACCTTGTCCTGGAGCTTCCTACCCTGCCATTATTCCTCATGCCTAAATTCTTGATGAGTAGATCGTTTCCATATTCAGTTACTGAAATTCTAACCCATTTCATCCAGACTGTTTATGAAAGTGACTTGGAAACTCTAGATCAAAATCATTGCAGACAACTGTGGACAATCCTATAACCTGAGCTTTTCATTTAAATAACATATGTGGGGAGGGGATGCAGCAATTTAGGATCCATCTATATTGTACATATCTGACTATTAACAAGCCACTGGAAGCTAAAACTTAGCATCTGCATTTTCCACTGGGAAATCCAGGTTTCTAGGAAGTACTAAGTGTGCATGATCAGAGATAAGTAGCAGTGCCCCCACTCTGAAAGGAGGCTCGCACGGAGTCCTTCAGTAAGGTTATTGGAATGAAAAGGGCCTCAAGGTCTTGCTCAGGCCTTCAGGAGGGATGGCGAGCAGTGGAACATGATGGGTCCTTAAAGGGAAGGAGGGGCTTCTCTTTAAAGCATAGAGAGGGTGAAGGAGCATATTCAGAGAGCAGTCTCCCCTGAGGAGTCGGGGACCAAGTCTGGGAACGAAGAAAAGGTCAGATGAGGTGGGAGGTTTTACATCATGTGATTTAGTCCAGCAGAGAATATGCGACCATTAAGGAGCATGGGCAGGGGTGGGAGGAGGGGATGGGGACAAGGTACCATAAATTGAGAGCTATCAAGGCACAGCACAGAGTGCTTCTTAGCTGTCCCAGAGAGAGCTACAGAGGGGTGTGGCCTGGTTCAGGCTATGGGATCTGACACAAAGATGTAGGTCCAGGTTCCCACAGCATGCAGACAGGGTCCAAACTCAGGTTCATGTGACTGAAAACCCATTTTCCTGGCCACTGCACTGCGGAAGCACACAGGGCATAGTGGGGCATTCATTCCTATGATTTCAGTACTTCAGAAGCAAAGACAGGTGGATCTCTGGGAGTTCCAGGATAACCTGGTCTACATAGGGAGTTCTAGGCTATCCACAACTACATAGCTTGTCCCAGTCTCATAAATAAGAAGCAAAAACAATCAAAGTCAGAAACCAAAACCCCAAACAACAGCGACAGCAAAGCTAAACTGCTCTTTCGTCTAATGAAGGAAATGCAGTCTCCTCCAGGACAAAGGCTGGTAACTTCTGTTTGTAATGTGTTGGCAGCAAGGCGTCCAAAGAGGTAAACATAAGATTAGTGTTGAATGTAAAAATATGTGCATATATAACAATTCGTGGAAGTTTAAGTATGCATCAAAATCATTGTCATTATTGTTTTCAATTCAAAAATCTGTAGAAAGAAATACATTTTACTCACTTAGCAGGGCAGTGATGATTTACACCTTCAATCCCAGCACTCAGGAGGCAGACGTAGGAGGATCTCTGTGAGTTAGAGGCCAGTGTGGGCTACAGATCAATTTCCAGGACAGCCAGGGCTACACAAAGAAACCCCTAAGAAACCAAAACAACAGCAATAAATAACAAAATTTACTCACTTAGGATAATAGTTAAAAAGTGAAGTCAGTAAAACATGCAGTTAAAATGCCAAAAGATGAGTGACTTTGTGTGTGTGTGTGTGTGTGTGTGTGTGTGTGTGTGTGTGTGTGTGTGTGTGACAGGGTTTCTCTGTGTGGTCCTGGTTGTCCTGGAAGTCACTTTGTAGACCAGCTTGACCTTAAAATCCCTAGTACTGGGGATTACAGAGTGTGTACCACCACTGCCTGTCGATGAGTGACATTTTTAAAGTTAGACATTGAATGTATTAGTTTTTATGCTAACTTAGCTAATGGCCTGTTATTCTATAAACAACAAAGGGAAAGCTGACTCAAACTATGGAATTTTCAGCCTGACAACTGACTCAAAATATGGGATCACTTAAAACAGAATAATACACAAACACAAGATCTTCTGCTTACACAGAATGAAGCCTGTTAGTAAAGGTACACTCTGATGACCAATTTGTGGTACCATCAAATCCTGAAAAAAAAATATCATGGAAACATTTCTCATGGAGTTGACTCTCCCTTCATTAATTTCTCATGCAGAAAAGAAGCCCTGAACAAAATTTGAATTCCCTGTACCTTATACTTGAAGAAAACCACTCTGATTTCACTTTCTTTACTTTTAAATTAAGTCGTGGTTTGCTTTGGTGCTAAGAGGACCAGGCCTGGGCCTTTCTCGCTGATGAATCTTGGCA